TTTTATATATATATATATATATATATATATATATATATATATATATAATTGTAAGATTTTGAAGTTAATTTTTTTTTTTAGTATTATGGGTTAGAGTACCCCTTATACTTTTTTTAATATACCTTTTATTTGCTTATTAAAAAAAATTAATAAATTTTGATGGGAATGGAAAAAAGTTTTAAAATATAAACTTGTTTTAAAATTCAAATCTGAATACGTCCGTCTTTTATGGGAGTGGAGACGGAGAGAGTAAAATCCACCTTTAACCCACCCGTTATCCTTACTAAATTACTGTACCATGCTACGACGGAAAACATATTTAGAGACTAGAATTTTACTTTCAAGGTTTATTTATTTTAAAAAATAAAATAAAATAAAATTTATAAATAAATACTAGAACTCAAAAAAGTTATAAACGTCGTGAAATAGTTATATTAAATTAATTCAATAGTTTTTAATCATATTATTGGTGAAAAGTAATATCCAACTTTACTAATCTCTATTAGATAATTTAAATGTCCATCCTTCATATAATTTTTCTTACAAATTATATATTTTCTATCTTTATGATTCAAACTCAAAATCTTATTAAAAAGAGAATATGGATCAATTACTTTTTAATAAATAAAATTAATTTAAGGTATATTGATAAATTTCACACAATCTAAAAAAATGATGCGCTCACACAACTTGTTTTTGTTTTTTTTTTTTTACAGTACTTTATAGTGGTCAATCCTTTGCAAATAAGGAGTAAATGCATATAATCATTTTTTTTACACTATTTAGCGTATACGAGTGGACAAGCTTTACAAATTTTGTATGAAGGAAAAAAAAATGGAAAAGTGAGAGAGAAAAAATGAAGGTGTGAAAAGGATATAAAGAAAAATGTGTAAAATAAAAAATTGGAACCCCATGTATTATGTGATAAATGGAGATGTTAATCGGTTAACTATAAAATATCATAATTTGTACGGTACTTGTTAAGTTCAAGCTCAATATAGTACGTAGATGTTAAGTATTTAAGAGAAGATTTTATTAATTGTAATAATCTTATCTATTTGAAAAAAATTGCATATAACAGGTAGAAAACAATTTAACCCCACTAGCTTAGAGTTGTCATTTATAAATTTATTCCCCACGGAAGAAATATTAGGAAAATATTAAACAAAATTTGCATTCTTTCCTTTGATGGACACTAAAGCTGTATCAATATTAGGAAAATACTAAAGTTTAGAGCAAATTTTCACTAGTCATGTATTGTTTATTCTTTTACAGTTATATATATATATATATATATATATATTTCTTTTTAATACATTTTTTATTTCATTTAGAAAAAAATATAATAAATTAAAAATGGCCTTACATATAAATATATAATGTATCTTGCTTCAACAGGAATACCCAAAAAAATTCCAAAATTTAGAAGTGCTTCCCCCATTTATGCGCACTTCAATTGTTAAACTTCTTAATTTTTATAACTACGTTATTTTTATCCAAAAAAAGTTATCAACGTTAGAAAACTTAACTGTTTACTTTAGTAAATTCTCTTTTTAATCACATTTATTTATTTTTTTAAAAACTTTAATTAACCAATATTCCAAGTCCAATTTCATCAGCATCAATATATAACATATTGATCCAAGTTGCACTAACCTAACCAAGCAGCCACATGAGAGAGAGCAATAAGAAATAAAGGACTTTAATTTGTTTAAACTAAAAAAAATTATAACACAAATTTTTAAAATTTTAGGCACTCTTTTTATCTTATTAAAAGCACACACATGTGTTTTAATTTTCTTTTAATATACATAATTATTATAATTTTTTAATTAAAAACCATTTTCTGTTTAAAAAACACAGATATATCCTCTATAATTCTCTTCATAGCCATCTCATTTACTTGCCAGTGATGATGACCCATTTACTCCTTTTCTTTACTATATTGACAAGTTCAAACGTGCAATCAACAGCAAGTGAATATAACAATTAACAACTACTCCGAAATTGCAAGCTAGCTTTCACATCCTCTAAAATATTTTATACTTTGACACAAATAATCCAATGTGCACCCATTGAACATTGAACTTAAATAGTAATGTTGAGGAGAGATAGTAGATGCGGACAAGGCGTGAATAAATGAAGATGAAAATGTAAGGTTGTTGAAAATGTAGGAGCTGGTAGGTGTGGGTCTCAGTCATGTCTGAAACAAATTAAGTTTTATGAAAATGGCAATAAACAGAAGACAATGTTGTCCAATTGTCCAACCAATGGTCCACTGTCCACCACCTACATGCCCACAATGATGTACCACCATAGCATAGGGAGGAAACGTGCCAACCAACGTTCCACATATCCTTTATTATAGAGATTGGAACACAATATTAATATACCACGTTATTAGAAAAACTTGCATCAAATCTATTTTATACTCCTCGCCATTATATTATTTGTCTTTTGAAATAATATACTCTAGTTAGTAGTAAGAAATTAATTATGCTTAATTGTATTTTTATACTCGTCTTTAACAATTTCGCTAATTTTGATAATCAACTTTTAATTTTGTACATTTTATTGGCCAATTTTTAAGAACTTACTCATTTTATTGGAGGACATTTGGAACACTTAAAAAAAGTCAAAAAAAACTCTTCTGTAACATGTGATGACACCAATTTTAAGAACTTATTTATGGTATCTGTTCAAGTTCTTAGGATACAATAGAGGGACATCCCATATATGAATTGAGGAGTAAAAACTAAAAGTATACATAAACTTAAAAACCTAGACAGAAGATAGAAGAGAGAACTCAAGTAAGAAGGTGTGTTTTTCCAAACAGATAAATACCTCTAATTATAGATGAGGGATCTTGAGAGGGTCTCCAAAAAATCAAAAGAAACAAGGGGAAAATTTTGGAATATTTTTCTGACCAAATAAATAATGAAATAAATAATTAAAATGTTTAATGACTAAGTAAAAAACATCGTAAAAAGAACAATCATATTTGAATATACTTTTAAAATAAATAAATAAATAAAAACTAATTTAATATAATAAAAAATAAAACATCCTCAAAGTTCATATTTCATACACAAGGGAGATAAGAGAATTAAATACGTCTACGGATTTCATATACTTTAGTATATAAATACATATACTCTATTAGTTTCAAGTAATGTGTGACTCATTTTTTTGAATAACTCATATTAGTAATAATTCTCACACATCTCCACATTATTACAATATTGTTGACTTTGAATTTAAACTATAATAGATTTACTTTTGGCTAAAAAACTTTAATCCAATGAAAACTTTGTGTGTGCGTATAAATTTATATTCACCCACTTGTTTTAACAATGTGAGACTTCATTTATACTTCAACATTTATCATATGCTAGTCACTCAACCCTATATCCCTCTCCTCAAACCACTTAGACCACCCTTATCACTCCTATTTTATGTTGTTACTTGAATGTTGATATAACATGTTGATTGTTGATATAACACATTATTTCACAACATTATTTATATATAATGTCATCAATTTTACTTGATTGGTCAACTTATCATGTAAACAATCAATCACGTCATCAATTAATTAATAACATTAATAAATCAACTATCAAACGACAAATGTTTAAATCTTTAAAAACAAGCAATGAAATATGTAAATTTAAAAATTAGGTAACAAATTTCATGAAATCTTAAAAATAGTGTAGTTAAAAAAATAATTATACAACAAAAACGCCTTTATTAAAATATAATTCATATTTTTATAATTTCTTAAGTGAAAGTAAAATAATATGAAACGAGAAAGCAGTAAGTAGTAAAGCAACTCAATTACAGAAGCAAAAACAATATTCAATGACCAAAAACGATCATGGATCATAAACAGAACAACAATTTACACAGACAAGGAAATGCAAAATTTGAGGAGATAGCAAGATTCTAAGCAATGCCCTAAGAGTTGTAATTGATCAGCATTCAATGGTAGAGCATTTGTAACAAGACAATTATTAACTACGTGCTTGGTTTGGTCTTTACATGTCTTGGTAACGTAGGAATTGCACGGGGCTTTGCGTCCTAAGCTGTTCATAGAACCTTCTGATGAAATCCTCTGCTTGATCATCAACAAGATCATTTCCAACCTCTTCATTCTCATCCAATGCAGAGTAATTCGACACCCTCACAGAGAAGGGTGAGAGAAGAGGACTCTTTTGACCAAAAAAATTGAACGTGTATTCTGGGGTCTTGGGCACCGTGACCACACCCTTAGGAACATCACTTTCAACTTCGAATGAAAAATCTGGTTCCTCCTCTTCAACAACCTCAGGGGCATTGATGCAGGGGAAGTTGAAATGGTGCTTGCGCTTTGGCACGTGGGAGAAAACAGGGTTTGGACTATTGCTGCACGAGAATTCATAGTGCACCCCGAACCCGCCACGTGTCACGTTCTTTGGGTTCTTGTAGTTGTGGTGGTGATGATGATCATGCGATGATGATGACATGAGATTGCTCAGAGATTTTCTCACCACCTTCCCTTTCTTCATCATCAAATTCATGTCCATGATCATCTTTCTCTTTGATACAAGACCCTTCCTTATCATGAAGAATGTTACCCTCACCACGTTCCATAGTCTCTTGGCCACTAAAGGAGAAGAATGTACCTCCATTTCTCAAACTATATATAATAATATTAATGGATATAGCTATAACTATGTGAAAGAGAAATATAATAAATGTGGCTAATACAGAAAATAGAGAAAGGGATGGGTTTCTTGATTCTACGAGGTTTGATGTACCTCGTAGAAGAAAAGAGAACCCGGTGTGGGGAATGTGGAAGGTGAAGAGAAGATTATATAGAGGTTGGTTTTCCTTTTTATTTTTTATTTTTTAAAATTATGGTGAAGTGCTGCGAAAGGCATATGAAGAAAGTGGGTGGTGTTTAAAAAATTGTGAGTTAAAGTGATTAAATAATGAGGGAGGGTTTGATGGAAATAAAATGAATGGGATGGCTTTGAAAGTGTTGAAATGTGTAAGTAGTTGACGTGTTCAATTCAAGTACAGCTAGGACACACGGTGTTGGAGGATTGTTAAATGAGAAAATTCAACGGCTAAAACATGATCTGGCTATAACACTGAACAGCAAACAGGGGACCCAATGATTCTGTCTTTTTCCAATGACCCCAAAATTCATAGTATTCATTGGTCATGAATAGGGGATGATAATAGGTCCCACCAGAGAAGTAATAAAATATTTATATCCGTCTGATTTGATAAAAAATTATTTTATATTCATCATATATTTATCTGAATATTTATTTAGTAAATATATATAAATTTTATAAACATTTATAAATATTTAAGAATTTTTATGAATATTTATAAATTATTTTAGAAATAAAAAATATTATAAATAACTTTAAATTTATATTGAATATTAAATATATTGAAATATTAAATATAAATAATTAATATTAGTTTTTAAATTTATAATCAATGATACTTTTTTTAAAATATTAAAAATAATTTAAAAAATTTAAGATAAAAATATAAATATTTAAATAATATTATTTGACGGATATCCATGAATATAAAAACTACCATATTCGTTTCTGTTTAACTTTATTTAAAACAGGTAAAAAAATATCCATATTTATTATTTACAAGTATTCATTTAAATTATTTATTTATTGATTTTTTATCTACATATATTCATAAGTGGATATTTTTGCCATCCTAATTATGAACTTAAAAAATTAGGGAAGCTTCAATAAAATTTGAACTATGAAGCTCCATCAACAACTGGGACACTGTTCGTGCACTTTTGATCAGTTTAGTGAATACGATGTTCCCCTACAACCCTTCCTTAAGGATAATTAGTGATTAACAATGGAAGGTTCATAATGGGTTCTTGCCCTTTCCTCTTTTAGTTAAAATAAATAAATATCTTGCTGCCACAGTGACACTTGTTAAAGGATAACATAATTTGTTTGTCCTCAACAATTTATTTATTAATTGGCGTTATTATGTACTTTATTAAAGTTTTTTTATTTATAATTATATTAGCAATACTACCGGAATAACAATTAATGTTTATGACATGTTCAAATATAAAATAGATATTTTTTCTTTCAATATTATATATTTCATACTTAAAATTAAAATTAAAATTTCAAATGTTGAATTAAAGTACATAAGTCACTATATATGCATGTGTGTTAATTTATGTACTCAAATAAGTGTTTCAACGCGTAGCGTGATACAGTGTCTAGTTTCTTTCCTTTATATATATATATATATATATATCTTTAGTTCTTCAGTCTTCCATGAAAGGTAGGTGTAATTTAACTAGGATTTCATGTTTACGCGTTGTTACATTACTTAGTCTACAAGTGCAATGCATTGCACGAGTTTTTCAAAATTCAGTTTGAATGCAAAGCAGTATCAGTTAAAAAATTATTTAAATATAGGAAAAGGAAAATACGTGATGGTTGGGTCAGAAAGAATTGAATGTGAAATTTAAAAGCATAAAACTGCCAATAGAATATAAAAAATGAGAATTTCAATTAAAATTTGATGTAATAGTACCTGTTGCTTTCAGGGAGAATCATAATATATAATACTAACAATTAATGATAAAAATATAAATAATAAAATTACATCAAAGTTATTCGGGAGAGTATGTTATTACATATCTTTTATTAATAAAAAATTGTTTTTATTCTTTAACTAAGTGTATTAGGACACTTATTAACATTTTCCTATTCTTTAGTAATTGATTTCTTTCAATTTTTATATGAATCATTTTACTTTTTTATTTTACTTAGAAATCTAAATCATATTTTTTTCTGTATATTTTTTTGACTCAAATTATTTATTTATTTAAAGTAATTATTTAATTGTTTTAAAAATTATAATTTTTTTTTATAAAAAATAAATAGAAGTACGAAATGACTTGATTTCACTGATAATAATTATGAAAGTTAGAAAGTGTATACTTACAGTAGAGATCAAATTTGGGTTCCTTATCTTACTTAGAATTACTATAAAGAAAAGAAAAAAGAAAAAGAAGATTCATTTCCATTGGACAACTATGTTTTCTCACATATCGATCTATCCCAAGAAATTGTTTAAAGTGATAACAATTTAATTAAAGATGTTTGAAAATTATATTGAATCAACTCTGCAGAGAAAAGTTATACAATTCAATTACTTCATTTTTTCTAATTTATCATTTATTAAATCTGATATAATTTGATCCAAAACGATTTAGATTTTAAAATAATTTTCATAGAATTACTAGAATTGACTTAATTATATAATGTTAAGTTTATATATATATATATATATATATATATA